CCCTTGTAGATGAGTCTTTGCTGCTCCGCTGGGACTCCGGACTTCTCCACACAACCTTTCTTGACGTCACCAATGGTGGTCTCAGGGTCGAAGCTCTGCTCAAACGAAGAGCCACCCGAAACCTTGAAAGTGATATTAATAGACATGTAAGATGATGATTATGAGCAACTATGGTAATCGCAAAAGGACATAGACTCAGAATTTCTCACTGTAAGTAAAACCGATACGAAAATCGGAGTTTAAGTGTAAATTATTGACCATTTTTTCGCATAGTTGAATTCACGACATTTCCATCGAAAACTTACTCATTTCTAGTCAAGCGTTTTATACAAAGAACTGAATCAGAGAGAATGCAGCTGCTAGATGCGCCCCTGACGACCGGAATGAGCTTGAGCAAACAATCTTTATTAATATCATGGATCATCGATTTTTCCGAGTCCGCTAGGAGGGCGTCACGCGCCACGTAATTACGCGCGCGCCCAACACGGTATCACCATCACTAGGAGGTTGTCAACTTTTATTGAAGATGCTACGCTCTCAAGCAGGCCTCCTGACGAGGCCCTTACGGCTTTTGACAGCCTCGAATCGAGTCCTGCCATTATGCAATAGAAGACTCACATTCTGCACTAAGGCCAGCGATAAAGTTGAAAACACTTCTACCAGCACTAGCTCGGGGTCTTCGTCGAGCAGTAACGGCTCTACTACGAATAAGAACAACAAACCCGACTTCTGGGCCGGTCCTAAGATGCTCCTGTCAACTGTGGGCTCCATCGGCGTGCTGTATGTCAGCTACTACTTTTATAAAGCCAACTTCGACGTGGAGCGAACGAAGCAGTTGTTGAAACAACAGTATCAGCAGTGGCCCCTTTACCCCCCACCAGGGCCGTCTCAAGCTGAGCTCATCACCAGAGTCGATCATGCTGGTCTCAATCAGGAGATGATGGACACTTTATCGACTTGGTTCTTATATGAAGATAATAGAAGACAGCACGGTGTTAGTCGGCAGTTTATCATTGAGACCTGTCGCGAAGTATTGCAGCTCTTGGATTCACCTGATCGCAATTTCGGTGACGACCTAAATGCCAAATGCGATGCTGTTGTGGATGACTTCGTGGCTCAAGGCGTTGGTCGGTCAGATGAAGAGAAACGCTTGTCCGGATGCACTGTGAACGAGGTTTCGAGATTGCTATCAGCTCTGTTCGAGATTCATGGTGGAGGTGATGACATCCAAGAGAAGGCGAAAAACAATTTGATTGATGAGGTCAGCAGAACCTATCGGGAGCAGGTGGAGATGGCGAGAGCTTTTCAAGATGCCATCAAGTTCGAGCCCTTGCCGGACATATCCGAGGATGAGGCCGATCGGGCCGTATTGGTGCTGGAGTTAGAGCAATACCAAACAGAGTTGGACGAGGGGAAGTGTGATGATGGCAGAAAGCAGTGGTTGCAGGAGGAAATAAAGGAAGTGAAGAAGTTACTCAACGAAATGAAGAAATAGTTACTTCATTTGCTGTATTGTTGTTAAGATTATGTTTTCGATCGACGCTGTGTTCGGTTTTAGTATGTATTGCATCGGTTTCGGCGTTTGACATGATAAACAACAATGTGAGGGTAATCGTCCCCAGCAAGGATGTTACTAGGAGTGGTAAACTGATGGGCCATTGAAGATATGATGCCTTCTTTTGTACGCCTGATTGACTAACCCATTTCTACAAAAAATATAACTACAGTGTGAAACTATAGGATTTTCGAGTACCATAAGCTTTCCATAACACATACGCCTAAAGCGTATGATCTTATGTCTAGCAACATCTCTGGATTTCGGAATTCGAGAGAATATGAGAATGCTGAGTTGAGACTGATGC